AGTATATGCAAGAAATCTTTCATTTTAATTTTTCATTGTTTTTAAAGAGACAGGGTCTTTTTGTGCTGTGCAGGTTGGCATAGCTCCTGAGCTCAAGTGATCCTCCTACTCAGCCTCCTACAGCAGAAAATCTTTCTGAAATGGGAAAGGGTATAGGTAATTGGAGTGAAAGATTTACTTTCCATTATATTTCTTTTGTACTATTTGAGCTTTTACTGTCTACATGTAAAATCAATTAAAATAATAATTATCATTATCATGTTTCTAGTGTTGAGAAAATGAGAAGACAAAGAGATCTTAGCATGAATCAAGATGGATTGGTGACTATGTGGAAGAGCAAGACCTCCATGGAAATTTCGTGATTACAAAATGTGATAAAACTCAATAACATACAAAATGTGAACACTCCTTGGAAAGCATAAAGGCTGTTATTTAGTTCTTTAAGTTCTCAACCCACCTTCACAGTTGTTTTCTGATTTTTCATAGTAACTTGAGTTTTATAGGATGGGTATTATTTGGGCGTTTTACAGAGAGTTAGAGCAAAATCAGATTTTTTCATGGAGATGAAGTCTCTGCATCAAGTCCTATAGCTACATAACGACTGGAGTCAATCTGGTGGCATAATAATACTCAGCAGCTATGGAGAAGCTCAAAGCCTGCTGCCAGGGGTACCAGTGCATGCCAGAGGTCACAGGGCCAGAGCTGAGGCTCACCTGCAAGGTCGTAAAGCTCAGTATCAGAGGCGCTGGCCAAGGCTTCTTCCAGTTCTGGATCCAGGGTCACCTTTTCTTCTTTATGAGTTTCTACAGGCTTTTCTTTGGGAATGAAGACTCTTCCTTTAAATCAGAAGGGAAAAAAAATGTTGTGTGATACTGCCTTATTGGTAGGGTAAGAGGTTGAGCAAAAAGTGCAGTTGTGGCCATTAAGACCTGTATCATTAAGTTATTTCATAACCAACTGAGACTGCTGAACCTCTGGACAGTCAATAATCTACCATTAGACACGAGGAATATTAGAGGAGAAATCCTGCATCAAGTCACACAGAAATTTGAAAAATAGTTCTTAAACACTGAGGAAAAAGATGGCTTCTACTTGCCTACTACCTGTAGCACTGCCTTAGGCAAGGGGAGCCCTGTTCTGGGCTCTGCACCTTCGAAGGCCCCTCTCCAGTCTTCTTCTGACTACATCTCTCCCTACCAAGGGAGAATCCATGAAGCCAAAGGGACATTCTCATCCAGAATGCTAGACCGCACTCCAGGCCTCTCGGATCTTGACATTCCCTGTTCCCAAAGTCCTGAGCCTGCTTCCATGGGCTCCTGTCCATATCCATGTCCTTGATGGCAGCCTATGCTGCATTCCCAGACAATAAGAGGGCCCTTGGGGGAAGTATGGATGAAGCTTAAATGTGTGGGCCAGGGTGTGTACTTGAGGCGCTGGCAGCATAGAACAGACTGATGTCCTGCATAGAATTTTTGTTAGTTCAAGAATGCTGGCCTTCTAGGTATATTAGGAGAATACATATATTTTAATGATTTGTTACCTTTTTAAATGTTTGGGGAAAAAATGGCATGTGGGTCTCTATTCATGTTTTTTTTTAAGAGAGAGAGAGAGAATTTTTTAATATTTATTTTTTAGTTTTCGGTGGACACAACATCTTTATTTTATTTTTTTATGTGGTGCTGAGGATCGAACCAGCGCCCTGTGCATGCCAGGCGAGCACACTACCGCTTGAGCCATATCCCCAGCCCCTCTATTCATGTTTTTGCTTTGGACCTTGTAAATACTGGAGGCAGGACCATCCAGATAGTACTAGGAACTGGTGATCCCCCAGAGTTTTCCCTTTACATGGAGAGCTACAATTGTGATCAGCTGGACTAAAACAGTGACCTGGGGACACAGTACATCAAACAAGCCTGATTTTAGGGAAAAACCAGGGTCTCTATAATTAGAGATGGGGATCTATGAGTAGCAAGGCATTCCTTGCTTCCCATCGATGCACTCTCTGCCACCAGTTCCCATTTCAGCCTGTCACTCAGATTCCATTTATTACCACCCCTTACCTCAGAAAATGCCAATCTGTATTCTTTACTCCTCAGCCCAAACTTATGAATTGACAAATCACACTGCTTGAAGGATGGCACAGTACCTGCTCCTAACTTCCAGTAGGCCAACATACCCACATCCCACATATGCAAGGGCTGACAGGTAAACCCAGGATATTCTAGAGCCATTGCTATCGTATACCCTAGACCCACCTGCATTCCCTTTCAGTTCTTCCCAGGTTTTGACTTGAGTCTTCATTCTTTTTTGGAGCTGCTCTGACTTCTTGGGCATGATCTTTGAAATAGTCTCTTCCCTTTTGATCTTCAGAATCCCCTAAGACTCACCCCTCTATTGTCTTTGTCACCTCGGATAGAACAGACAGCTGGCTCCAGTTTTAGCCAACTGAGACACAGACCCTTTCCAGGTCTCCCTAGCTGGCCTGGCCCATCTACTGCTATGGGAAAGGAAAGGTCAAACCCAAAGTTAATAACTCTCTCATGAAAACTTTCCAGGAGATTTCCTTGATCATAGGGGTTGAATATTTCCTTATTATTTACCATTTTGTCAAACGACTGGATAAATGAATGGGAGCCAGAGCTGGGAACCCCAGAAGGGAAAGGAGGGAGCTGCTTGTGGCTGTCTGGGGCACCTTGACAGCAGGGCCTCCATCACTGACATACATCCTGTTTCTGGGCACCACATAAGCTGCCACCTGTCCCAGAAAGAAGGAAAATATACTGGGGGACAAAGTGGGAACATGACCAGAAGATAAAAAAATGAAGAAATAAAGCAAACCAATAACATCTCAGCCACTGGTGCTCATGGCAAACTTAATTTTCATAGTATCTGCAAGCCTGAAACATTTCCTTTTTGGTTCAGATAATTTTTAAAAAAAAAATTTCAGTTATAGATGGACACAATACCTTTATTTTATTTATGTTTACATGGTGCTGAGGATCGAACCCAGCGCCTCACATGTGCTAGGCAAGCGCTCTACCACTGAGCCACAACCCTAGCCTCTCATATGATCTTGCGTATAGAGTCAAAACAGGTTTTCTAATTCTTTCTACCCAGTACTGTTTAGGATTACCCTAAACATGAGGTACACAAGTGACCCAATAGTTACCAGTGTTCAGGGCAATGCTGATGCAGATCGTTCCTGTACTGCAAGAGTTAAATCTGCACTGAAGCTGCACTGAAGAGTTAAATCTGGCCCCAGGACTCTAGGGGCAGCTTCCTTCAGGCTGCATCAGGAACTAAGGTGTGGATTTCTCCTGAGGACCTCACTTCCGCCTCACACAGCCTCCTGCCACTCCTAGATGATTCTGCTCATCCTTCTGGGGGTACTGCATACTTCTTTCTGATCCCACCACTCTGTTTGGAAAACTTGCTCCCTGCTCATTTGAACTGTGCTACTTCCCATCCTTTTCAGCTGCAGTATGACTATACCCCCCTTTTATACTTAGCTCCTGCATTCCTAACTCCCCATGATCCACCTGCAGCTTAATTTGGATCAAGAGATAATCTACCTTAGTGGCTCCTCAGACCTCTACTCCAGGAACAACAGGCAACAGCTTTCCCCTTATTATGCTGCCACTACCCTAATACTTGATGTTTATTGGTGTTTTATCAAATATTTTACATTATATATATATTTTTTTTACAATTCAATTAGTCCAATAGCAACTGTGGTGCTTCAGAAACAGCTCCACACTTCCACAATAATCTCTGGTTATTGATCCAGTTCTTTTACTGTTCAACTTTACTTTTTAAATGACATTCTAATAGTGTATGATCCATTAAATATGCACAGTATGGAGGACAGCAGTACTGCTGACTCATGCCAACTGAGAAGATAGGTGCTCTGCTTTCCACCGCCTTGGTACAAAGGCTCAGAGATGGCAGTCACTTGAACCCACGCTTATCAAGTGCTCCCCTTGGGCTGATTTCTGTGCCAGGACACAAAATGACCCAGACCCACTGTGGAAATCTCAATCTGATGTGGAAAACACACCTAAGTAAATAAACAAAATGATGAATACTATCACAGTTCTGTGACAGCAACACCCAGGTATCATGGTGGAATCGAGGGGACTATATCACCTAGAGGTCAGGGAAGACCTGAGGTACTGATAGCTAAGCTGAGAGCCTTAGGATATGAAAAGTGGGATGTGGGTCAGAGGGAAGAGTCCATGAGAAGACAACTTGAGATGTAAAAGAACTGGGCAGGTTTGGGGAGGTGAATGCAGACAGTGGGGCTGAAGCTTAGTAAGGAAGGAGAGATGTATTCTGACAGGGGGTGGAGTCTAGACCCACTGCGAAGATTACAGTAAGGATCTGGGACTTAAAGCAGGAAAGTGATATGATCTGATTTGTATTTTAAAAGACTCTAGTTACTATAGGATCACCAAAGAGACACGGGTCCAAGTGACTGACTGTACTTGAGGAAGCTGACAGGCAACTGATATCATACACTCTTCCTCCAAACGGGAGCTCAGGCTCTGAAGCTAACAGTCTCCTTGTCTTGGCTCAGAGCTCAGCCTGGCGTGGAGATACATCCCCTTGCTCCTTACAGCAGCCCCATCTTCCTGAGGGCCATAAGTTCCTTAAGATCAGAGCTGGGTCTTAAGGCACCGGTAGTCCCAGTACTTGGTACCTGGCTCTGTACAGGGAAGGTTCTCAACAAATGCCAGATGAAGGAAGGAAGAACTGCACGAGCCTATCAGCATAGCTCTAAGATTAGGGGTGTGGTGCTACAGCCATCCTAGGCAGGGAGTGGAAAGGCTTTGTGGGGGCTTCAGCAGTTAGTAAAGCACACCAGTGTCGCTGGAACACTCCATCAAGCTGTTTCACGTTTTCAAAACTTTTCTTTGGAGTTAGATTTTTTCTCCATTGGACTAATTTGAGATCATCACACCCTAAATATTCATTTAATTAGCTTGTACAGTCTGCCATGAATATTTTTCCTTTTAAACAAACTAACTTTAATTTTTAAAGCAGTTTTAAGTTCACAACCAAATTAAGCAGAAACTACAGATAATTCCGCTATATCCCAAACCTTCCTACTAACAACATCCTGCACCACAGTGAAACATTTGTTATAACTGATGAATCTGTATGGACACATCATTATCACCCGAAGCCCATAATTTATCTTAGGGTTCACTCTTGGTGTTGTGCATTCTATGGGTTTGGGCAAATGTAGAATGGCACGTATCCACCAGCCACTGTTTTAAGATTCTACATGCAGTTCATGGGCTTACTTCCATTTCCAGGTCAGTTCCCTCACTTGACTCTCCATGGCAGTACGTAAAGAGTCCCTTTGACCCATGAGGTGCTGCTGTGGTCCTTACCTTTCTTTTCTCCAGTGAAGGGCACAAAATCCTCCCTGTCTTTCTGTTCCAAGGCCTCCTTTTCCAGGTACATGAGGAGGTGCTCGCGGTCAAACGGGCCAGTGGCTGCTTTCTGTGTCTGGTCTTTCTGTCGGAATCCAGCTGGCAGCATGGCACTCTGACAAAACAGAGGTGTGGGCAGGAAGAAAAGATATTTGCTGGACAGATACTTGTTACTCACTCCCTCTTTCCTCCTTGCTGTATGTGGGGAAGCAGGGAAAAAGATACCTGGGCAGAGACCTGTGAGGACGGAGGGTTGGGGTCCCTGGGACATCTCCAAGGCCCTGCTTATTCTAATACCTTGTGCTGAGAGGAGGGCTCCCAAGGAGCTCAAGTACAGCAGAGATGCTGAAGCAGCCTCTGGGCCTTCTGCAGATGCCTTCTAGAATGGGTAACAAGGCCTCTTTCCTTTTTGATTATGCTTAGGTTTGGCTAGCTATGTGCCCAAGATGCTCTCAGGCAGTTGTGTGGAGACTCTAATAAGAAGCCAACATGGCTGGCTACATTTGCAACCTCTCTCCAATGGAAGCATCTGGGCAGGTAAGCGGCTATTATACTAGAGGTCAATACCTGTTTGATTAGGCCTTGAGATTTGTTCCTTAAGTTTTACAAAATAAAAAAAGACTGTACTTGTATTTTTTAAAGTGAAAACAAAGCCAGGCATGGTGGCACATGCCTATAATCTCAGTGACTTGATAGGCTGAGGCAAGAGGATCTCAAGTGCAAGGCCAGCCTCAGCAACAGAGCGAGACCCTATCTCAAAATATAATAAAGTGAAAATAATGTCCAAAGTATCTGACATATCAGAATATCATATAATTAATTTTAGTTATATTTTTATTTATAACAAAATCACTATTTTGAAAGTGTCTGATTTTAAGCTTAAGCTTAAGATACATCAGTACTGAAGTGGTTGCTAAGCAAACAATATAACAAGCTACTTAGCTTTTCTTTTGAAAATAAAAATATTAGAAGCTCCATTAAAATTTACTTGATATTATATAGTCATTCTAATCTATCAATTATTGTAGGATAATCAAATTATTCATTTAAAAGAAATGAGATATAAAAATCTGCATATGGAATTAGAGACCTGTCTTAAATACTACCGCAGCAGACATTTCCTAGTCTGGGATCTTATTTATAATATCACCTATACAAGTCTGTCTCTTCACTTATTAAAGGGAGATAATATGATTTATCTCAACAGATTCTGCACCTAGCAAAGTTGGTGACACATTGAAAAATCTCAGTATAATTTATCCTTTCTCCTTTTTTTCTCTAAGTCTGATTACCATTTCTCCAACCATTTGAAAAGATTTTTCCTCATTTACATTAAACTGGTTTTTGAGAAATATATTTGACAAATCTTAAATAATGGCTATATGAGGTTCTCTATGAATTTTTTTTCCAGTACTGGGGAACCCAGGGGCACTCTACCACTGAGCTATATTCCCAGACCTTTTTACTTATTTTGAGACAAGGTCTCGCTAAATTGCCAAGGCTGACCTCAAACTTGAATCCTCCTGCCTCAGCATCTGGAGTATCAGGAATTACAGGCATGTGCCTCTGCCTGGCTTCTCTATGAATTTGTAAAAGTGACCTAGAACCAACTGAAGAAAAGAAGATAGAATTTGCATTTGGAGTTGAGGGGTTTCTACTATTGTGCAGGGACCAAGCCATGCTATTTACCCTGTACTATTATTAGCCACTCCAGCTCCATGTCACTAACCTCAGGATCTAGGTCATCTAGAACATTTTCCAACTGTTTCAGTTCCTCTTCTGAGAGCTTGCCAAGAAGCTCATCTTCATCAATGTTCTTGTATTTCTCCAGCTCTTTTTGAAAGGGGAGTGCCATAGCTTCTTATATGCCTTTCTCATGGACCATGCACCTTGAAGTAGTCCAGCTTCCTGAGACTTCAGATTAGCACTAATAAAAGAGAAATACTGTTGTCTTCTTTCTGCAAACAGGACTTATTAACAGAAGACAGTGCTACATTGTCATTGTCATCTATGGAACAAATAATTCAAAGAAAAAGTAATATTACCTTCATCTGCATTCTCAGAGCAATGTGACAGCTTACAAGGTATTTTCATAAATAGTATATGATCTTTATTTTTTTTTATCTTTACAACAATCCTGTGAGAAAACCTGCACAGATACTCGCATTCCCATTTTACAGATGATGACTCTGGGGTGAAGGTGACCAAGTGCCTTGCCCAAGGTCATGAAGCTGGGATGTGTGTGCCTGGCCCTCTCATTCTCAGTGTAGTGAGTGCTTTCTCAACCTACTCCTTTGCCTCCCCAGCTTTCCATAGAAAAATAGTGGAAGAACAATGCATCGATTGTAAAAGGCAGTTGTAAGAAGCATGCTTGTGTCTTTTCAGGGAGAGAGTGATGTAAAGAATACAAAATGGGACTCATTCAGGAAAGAGAGCTTGGAAGTCTATGTGAGAAAGCATTGTCCAGTAACTCCCCTGCAATCAAACTAAGTGAGAGTCTAAAACCATGGCCACACAATCACTCTCTCTACTTTTCTCTTTTCTCCTTTATCCCCCCATACCCTCCTCCCCCAGTACTGGGGATGGAACCTAGAGAGGCTCTACTATTGAGCCACACCACCAGCCCTATTTTTATTTTTATTTTTTATATTTTGAGACAGAGTCTCATGTTGGAGAAGTAGCTCAGCAGTAGAGTGTTTGCCTAGTATGTGTCAGACCTTGGGTTCAATCGCTAGCATTGCAAATAAACAAAAAAGACAAAATCTGCACATCTAGGCAAGTATTCTACATATAAAGCTACTAAGAACCCTACTCTGATTAATATCTTTTTTTTTTAACCAGGGATTGAATCCAGATGCACTTAACCACTGATCTATATCCCCAGCCCATTTTATTTTTTTATTTTGAGACAGGGTCTCGCTAAGTTGCTGAGGCTGGCTTTAAACTTGTGATCCTCCTGCCTCAGCCTTCCAAGAATCTGGGACCACAGGAATAAGTCACTGCACCTGGCTCTTTTCTCCTCTCTTTTTCTTCCATTCTATTTCTATTCTCATTTCCTTTTTTAAAGCCACATTCCCTAATTCTTCTTACTTTATGCCCTTAGACTAGCCTCCTTTTAGCTACCTCCCTTTTTTTATACCACCCAACTCCTAAACTCTCAATCAAAATGAAATTTTTACTCAGTCCCTTACAGAAGATTTTACAGAGCTTCCATAGAAGATAATTCTGCATTCAGGAAATAGTAATGCATTTAACTGATAGTGTTGATGCTGGTGAGGTAGATGGGTGATTAGAGAGGAGGGTTCATGGAAGGAAGGAGAGAAAAGAACCAAAGATAGGATGGGACATCTATAAAGGGTCTTCCTTATGTTAAGAGACTCGGATCTTATTCTGCTGAAGCCCCCACAACTTTTAAAGTAGGGGAGTGTCCCAACATACCTGTTTGTTTTTAACAAGACAGTACAAAAGGAAAGAATGAAGAATGGGCTGCCATGGAAGAGACTGGTTGAAGGTGGGCCACTTAGGGGCCATTAGAATGTTGTCCCCTCCCCTTAATTCAACTGTTCACAATGGTCAGGTTTGTGGTTTCATATCCTTTCAACAAGAAATGTAGCTCTATCTTCCTTTGCCCTCCATTTTAAGCCTCAATGGCTATACTTCAGTAAAAAATAAATGAAAGTCCTATGAAAGACAGAGAAACCAAATTGATCCCAGATACTTTGTTCTGGTGACAGCCATCACTAATTTATTGTATGATATGAGACATGCAATTCATCTGTCAGGCACTTACAAATCCAATGAGCTGGTTGAACTACCCTTCCTAAAGGATTCTTAAGTTACACAATATCACATTTACTATTCTGAAATTGAGAGCTGTTTTAGTTGATGGGATGCTATAAACACTTCACCAGCAACAGTCAACATGTGTTTGTCGCTGCCTATATGTACATAAGCACCAAGAGTACCAGTCTCAAAATAAGCACATTGGGGACCGGGGTTGTGGCTCAGCGGTAGAGTGCTTGCCTAGCACATACAAGGTGCTGGGTTGGATCTTCAGCACCACATAGAAAGAAATAAATAAAATAAAGGTATTGTGTCCAACTACAACTTATATATATATATATATGTGTGTGTGTGTGTATGTATATATATGTATACACACACAAATATATATATTTTAAAAAAGGAGCACATTGGGTATCAGGGATCTGGAAGGAAACCCCAGGAGCACCTGTGGAACATTCTTTTAAAACCTAGAAAGCAAGGCCTCAGGGGAGGTGGCAATGCAGGTGTGTTTAGTAGTACTCCCAAAGGAAGGTCTTATTTCCACATAATTACAGAGCAGGTTTACATGCCTAGGATCAATGACGTTTAGTTCTTTTACAGATTTTGTTGTTGCTGTTACCACTCTTAATGGCTCAGAAGAGAGACTGTTTGGAAAAAACAGACATTGAAAAGTGATTTTAAAAAAGTTGAACTCTGAACATGAAAAAGTTTTAAGAATATTGATAATTCCAGGACCGGAGGCACACACCTATAATCCCAGCAGTTTGGGAGGTTGCTAACAAACCACTTTCCTGTCAAGAACTTACAATGGCTCCTTCTTGTCTACAAAATAGGATTCAGATAATCTAGCATCCAAAGCCCCCATAATTTGGTTTTAATCTGATCTTCCTGTTTTCTCTCCCATTACTTTCCTAGAGAGACCTCTGCTCCAGCCAAAGTGGTTTATCTGCTCTCTGTGGTAGGCAGAATTATGGATTCCTAAAAATGCTTAGACCCTAGGGCTGGGGTTGTAGCTTAACAGTGAAGTGCTTGCCTTGCACATATGACATGCTGGATTCGATCATCAGCACCACATAAAAATAAATAAAGATATATGTTCATCTACAACCAAATATATATATATATATTTTTTAATGTCCAGCCCCTAATTTCCAGTCCTGTGAGTATGCTGCTTTTCATAGCAAAAGAGACCAGGTGTGATAAAATAAAGGATCTTAAAAAAGGAAGACTGCCCTGGATTATCTAGGTAATTACGAATCCAAAACTCTTAAAAGATGGAATAGGAAGGCAGAAGAGCCAGACATCAAAATTTCATGACAGAAAGCAGAGAATCAGAATGATGCGATTTTTGGCTTTGAAGATACAGAATGGGGCCAGGAGCCCAGGAACATCCAGAAAGCAGTACAATCCTGCTGACACTTTGATTTTAGCCCATTGAGATTCTTCCCCTGCCCCCCCCCCCCCCCAGCAATTGAATCCAGGGGCACTTAACCACTGAGCCACATCCCCAGCCCTTTTTATCTTGAGACAGATAGACTAGCTTAGGGTCTCACTAAGTTGCTTAGGGCCTCACTAAGTTGCTGAGGCTGGCTTTGAACTCATGATCCTCCTGCCTCAGTCTTCTGAGTTGCTGAGATCACAGGCATGGGCCACTATGCCTGGCTCCCACTGAGACTCTTCTAATTTCTAAAATGGTGTAAGACAATAAATTAGTGCTGAATTTGTGCTTAGTTACTGAATTGTAAGTCACTGAATTTGTGCTTAGTTACAGCAGCAATAAAACAATTAGTATACTGGGGCTGGGGTTGAGGCTCAGTGGTAGAGCATTTGCCTGGCATATGTGAGGCACTGGGTTCGATTTTCAGCACTGCATATAAATAAATAAAATAAAGGTCCATTGACAACTAAAAAATATTTAAAAACAAAACCAGTACATTCTTATCTAAACCCCTCCATTTCCAAGTGAATTGTTTTGGATTGCTTCTGTTTGCCCCTCCGTATCAACTCCCCACCCTGTTCTGTGCCTCAGAAACAGTATTGTTAGATTGCATCAATGGGTTCCTGTCCTTTCTGGCTTCTATTTGGCCAACCAGAGACATCAGCAGGGAACTGGAGGGCAGGAGGAGAAGGAGGTGGGGTCCAGAAGGTCACATCCCCCCACTGCTCTCCCTTGCTGCTTTGAGGCCTTAGGTGGTGAAGGGTCTCTACTGTCTGGTGCCAGAATTCTGCCTTGCTGTAATCCCTCAACCCTCTCCACATCATTGTAAATAGTCTCTTTATTAAAAATTTCTCAAGTCATTCCGTTTGAGTGTGTCCTCTGTTTCTTGTTGGGAAGTTGGCATACATAGCTCTATTACTTGGAATGCCCTTTATTCTCATGGCCTATCTGTGTGCTCTGCTTTTGTGACCTGGCTCAGATCCCAGCTCTGCAGGACCACAGAATGTCAGAGCTAAGCCAGGTCTTGGACCACCCAATCCAGCAACATGGTTGTTTTCCTCCTATTCCTCTGGTTTCTTTTCACAATTCTTCTTCCAGTAGCTTAAATACTGGCATTCCTCAAAGTCTTGTCTAAGGGATTCTTTTCTCATATTACTCACCTGTCCCTGAAGTTTTAACTGATACCCTGAAGACTCCAAAATCCGTATCTTCATCCTAGACTTCGTTCCTGAGGACCAGACCCACATATCTCCAACTTAAAATCTTCCCACTGCCTTGTGAGTAAGGTCCAAATTCACAGTCTGACTTCTGTCATCCTGATCAGCCTCTTCCACCCTTACTCCCCATCTCCTCCTGGATCCAGCCTCCTGGACCACTTCCAATTCCTCTGCTCAGAGCAGTCCCACTCCTTCTCCTCTGGTCTCCTCTTTCTTATGTTCAGTATGAGCTTCACTTCCTCCTTCAGACCCCTACACAAGACCTGGGTCATTCCCTACCACATGGCTCCCTTCTGATTACAGCTGTCCTTGGCTTTATTAGAATCACATGTTTTATCCCTGTTTTCTTTACTAATCTCTGTGAGGGGAGTACTATATCATATTTATTCACTGATAAATATTAACTCCCAACACGAGTCTTGACCCACAGTAGGCATCCAGTAAATATTGTGCAACCAATGAAGAATGAAGGAAATGAGCGTAGGG